TAGGCTGTAGGTGTGCTGGAAATTTTTCCTCCCTAGGTGCAGCACTTTGCATTTCTCCTTGTTGAACTGCATTCTGTTGTATGCTTGGGCAGAAATAAAACCAACCAAGACAAATTCCAAGCCCCTCAGGATTTAGTCTAATGATGATATGCTCAGCTGTAAAAGCTGAATAGTTATAAAGTAAGGAATATATGCGCAGATCCAGAGCACCTTAGTTGATAACTGAGCAGTGCAGGGCAGGAAAGAGCTGCCCCAGCAGGATCCATTTTTGCTTTCCCAGATCCTCTGGCTGTACGGAAGCTGCAAGTCCTTTGTAGGGTGTCAAACTATTCAGCTCCACTAGACACTGCGAGAGCTACCCTTTTCACTGGCACTCAAGGACTGGAAACCTCCAGAGCTGGTTGGAGCATGAGATGGTACAATTGAGGCTAAAGAACCAAGGGTCCCTAAGTGAGCTGACAAGCATCCTTTGCTGATCAGGCGCAGCGGAGACCTGTCTGCACATTGAGAATTACATGTTTTGAGAGTTGCAAGATGAGGGAGTTCTACTTCTCCCTGGCTAAATTAAATGGCCCTATGGTATGCAGTATATCAGGGCTAACATTCTTGGTCTTGGTCTGCTGGGGTCCTAGGGGCCTTCTGTGCCTGCAGCAGTGATCCTGTTGCTCAGAGCCTGGCCGGCAGGCGGAGCTTGGGTCCAGCTGGCCCAGTTCTGGTTTTGGGCAGTGCACACTGTCTCCACATGTACAACCCCACTTTTTTTTTTGCATTTTTTTTTGGCCCTTTGGATGGGGATCACCCCACCACCACCACCACCACCACTGCTCCCTTGCAGCACAGAAAACAGCTGAATGTGCGGTATGTGGCACTGCAGACATGTCTGTGGCACCACATACTGCACAGCTGTGCACATCTGGACACAGCCGTGGTGTCTGTCCCTTGGGTTTTCCTTTTCATTACTTCACAAAGTCAATCATAAGTGAGGTTCTGCCAACTCTGAGCAAAACTCACAAATCCGAACCTCCCAAATCATGATATGAAAAAAACAAAAAAAAGTTTTTTCTCCTCTTTGGCCTTTTGGTACTTGGGTTTCTCCTCTTCGGCTTTATGGTACTTGGGGTTACTCTGGTATTTGGGTTGCACTCTTTCAAGCTTTTTCTCTACAACCATGGATGGTAGAAATTTACTTTGATACATTAAAACTATGATTGTTAGAATCACATGACTCCAGGGGGTGCAGTATTTTAAAAAAATAACAATAAATATTATCAGACTTGAGGGCTGGCAGAAATTTGGACAGAGAATGAAAAGGAGAATTTCCAGATGTATGTAAAGATCGCAGGTGAGTGACCTCCACAGATGAAGAGTCAGAAACCAGAAAAGAAATCACAGTTGAAGGAGTAATTGGGAAGTGAACAGATATGAGGTCACAGAGCAAAGCAACAGACTCTTTCGAAACAAATACAGTGAGTTTTAATTTAATTCTTCATTGGACAGAAAGCTGATGCGTGTGATTAGATATGGGTAGGGGGTCTGCAGAATTCACACTGGAAGTGTGTGATGTGACGGCTTCTTTAATCTTCGAGTCCCCCCGGCATGCCCGCATGCTCCCCTGCCGCTGAGTGGCAGAGGGGCTCCATCACTCACTGCCTATGCCTGATGGCTGGGAGACAAAAACTGCAACATATTTAAAACCATGGTTTTTGCCTCCCGGCCATCAGGTACAGGTGGTGGAGCAATGGGGTCCCTCCGCCAATCAGTGGCAGGGGGTGAGGGGGGGCACAGGGGAAAAACTACAGGATTAAAGAAGATAACACGCTGCACACTTCCAGAACAAATTCCAGAGATCCCTAGTTATGGGGTGAAGGGTCCGACTGCTCTATAGAGGGTACAGCCCACTCAAGGTTTAAGAGATATGCTTTTAAGAAGCTAGCATAGAGAAAAAGAATTGAGGCAGGGAGCGATAAAAATTAACAATGTCTTCAACGGAAATACAGTCAAGGTAGAGGTCATTCTGGTAAGACAGATTTATACACTAAGCTAGGGGAAATAAAAAAAAATGGATAGTCAAAAATATCTTGACAAGATCCAAAATTAGGGAATAGTCAGAGACATGGGACAAAGCCAGCTTTCTTTTCCCTCTTGGATGAAGGGGTCCCATCACTGAAACAGTCATTGATGGGAATTCATAGGGGCAACCCGCTGTCCGCCAGACTACACGGAGCCCCGCTGAGGTCAATGGGGTTCTGAGCAGAATCTGGCCCAGAATGAAGACAAGCACGACAGTGAGAGATACAGACATATCTAAAAGCGGTGTCCAAAAATAAACTGGCCGGAAGATTTCCCCAAAGATGACACAGATAAGAAAAGAACAAGTGTAGATACCGGCAGAACGATAGATGTAACTATATTTATAACAGTTACGTGGCAGGCATTAGAGAACCAAAACGGCTAGACTGTGTTAATATTAGAGCAATGTAAATGTAAAATAAAGCAACTCTATTTGATTTTTGGGTTTTATTATATACCGAGCCCTGGCACACTCCAAATTGCAAGATGCTTCCAGTCAACCTGACACATTAAAGTTTTTGCTGTAAAATATACTTAATCCATGGTTTCAAATGCAAAATACAAAGGAATGGTCTCTGGGTGCAAACCTGCTGACATCAGGAAAGAAAATAAACAGACAAAAACTACAGTCCATCTTGCTTAAAGCCCCAGAAGACAAAATGGATGATTTTTTTTTCACATCCCTATGCAAGATTAATTAATTTCGGTCTGTGCAGCAATTTTACTAAAGCAAAGGAAAAATGCAGAATGGAAAATAACCAAATTACAGGAAGTAAGGGGAAATGGTAAATCAGTAAGTTGTGTAATCATTCTAATGGGATGGGGTTATTTAATTCCTTCTATAAGAACCCTACCAACCAGCAGGCTGCACCCATGAGTCACTTTCTGAGTGGAGGCCCAGGCAGCCTCCTTAGCATGTAATTATAAACAGCAAAAAAATGATATTCATTTTCATACCTAGGATGCGAACCATACAGTCCTGCTCAATTTTTTTCTCAGCTCATTAAAACTGTACTTCTAAGAATATGCCCAGCTCAATTAATTCATAACCTTTATTGCCAAAATAGTTTATGCTAGTTCTGTAATGAAGACACTACCACGTCCCCACAGCTTGTGGACAGCGGAAAGAATGCAGGACCTGAGTCAGCGCCTGACTTAGGTGCAAAGAGTGAGCACAGTCCCCTATTTTGAAACAGGACTCTGCATGGTGCCGTAGACCCTAATTTTCACGTACACAATTAAAGAGGAAATCCAGTGGCGATGGCTTGTTGGAGGTTCCCAGTTGGTGGCCATGGAGTTATTGAAGACTTGCACGTGGCCATGTACTTTTATCACACTTGGGAAGCTCACATGGGATTTCCCCACCAGTCTTCCTTAATAAACCCATCTCTCCTCTGTTGCAAGGATGCAGAGGAAATGCCAAATGGAAAACCTCAAAGGATTTTCTTTGCCCTGAGGCTGTTTTCTGCTTTTGGGGGAGGAGCCGTTTTCCACTCATGTTAAATTTAGGGTTTTGGAGGCTTCTGCCAAGTTTTTTGTACTTGCTGCTGGCCAGATTATATTTCAGCCTGACATCCAACATATTCTCATTTTCCCTCTAGATGCTTATTCCTGCATACGGTTTTTCTTTTCAAAATAAACAGGCTACTAAGACAGTAAGGTTTCTAAAGTGTTGTGAAGATATGTATGGTCACTACTGGTGGATGATCAGAACAATAGGTGCCTAATAAAGTTACCACTAGAGATGTTGCTGCCTTCAATACACCCCCAAATGTGAAAGGGACAAGTAGAAAGCAAGGCCTCCCCTTGACACAGAAGGAAATTATGAAAACTAAGGACTGAAATCAAACCAAGCAGGGAATGCTAGAAGCATGTGCCTGGCCTCTGAAGTCAATGGGAATTCTTTCATCGACTGCAGCAGGTTCGAGGTCATGTTAGTGGGTGGTATTGAAAGGATGGATTGGTGGGTGGTATTAAAAGCTGAGCAGACATCAGGTAGAACGAGGACAGGAAGAAGGCAAGCCAGCAAACGATGATGAATACTTGACGTATTTTAAGCTCACTTATTTGCTGCC